AGTCGGATAACCGAAAAGTATGAAAAAATCAAAAAATCCATTATTAGTGTAGTATATTATTATATCCCATGTAATTAGTATATTGCTATTAACCTACTTCGCGTTGAATTTTCATCGATGTTAAGTCTAACAAAAATTTTTTAAAATAATAATCGTTGCTATTGTATCGTTAAAAATTAGAAAATTAAGCCTCATTTAAATACTGGCTCCCTTTCATGGTCGAATGAGTGTTGCCAGCTAAAACACATAAAAATAATATTAAAGTAGCCAAGACATAGCCAAATATTGCAGCGCCACATCACTAGTGGACATTTGAAATTTGCCGACTAGGACGGTCGGTTAACCGAGGTGGCGGTTAATCGGGGGTCAAATAATTGAGGCTGTACTGTATATTCAATTTGTATTTTATTCATTAAATAATTATTTTACACAGACTATGCTCAATTCACAATCCAGATCTTACTAATCTGATATTTGCCTTATCTCAATACACAAAGGCTGCAAAGTAAAGGTCAAGATGGACATGCTGTAGATGCTCACCATTGGTTCTATACTAATGCTCCTTTATTCTAACTCTTAATGGTGAAATAAGGTCAATGTCTCCACTTAGACTTGGCATATAATCACTTTAATAGGAACAATATATTATTCCTACTCCTGTTATCCTTATTATTGTGTAATTTGTAGATTGTGAATGTGTCTTTCATTTCAATGAAATTTCAATGAAATTCCACTATTTTCCATATAAACAATGTGCCAATATATTGTTCATTTGGAACAGGAATGTCACAACTAAAAATAAAAATCCACTATTTTTTTTAATTGTAAAACAGTTCCAAAGTAGCTGTATTTTTATGAAAGAAAAATGTTACAAGTTGTATTATCTATTGGCCAAATAAGTTCAACTTATGACATTTTTTTCCATAAAAATACAGCTATTTTGATTTCTGAGTTACAACACTCTTATTCCAAATGAACAATTTCTTAGTAAGCATGCTGTTGTGTGTAACTACTCAAGGAATTTAAACAGGTATCATCATTATTTGCTGGAGACTGTTATCACAAGTAAATAGAAATTATCACCCAGAAGAGCATAAAAGAAAGCCATAGAAATGTTAAATGTTTTGCATTGGAGTATAAAAGATGCAGTGCTAGAGATATTCTAGAACTGCATCTTTTATATTGGTACAATATGTATATTGTCTCCAACTATGAGCTTTAATAGCTTTAAATGCAGAAAACTTGTAAACAGTACGATCCTCTAATGGACAAGATAGATAAAATGAATTCTTCACCAACTTTTCATTCATCGTTCTAGGTTAAAATATTGTCCAAGAAATGCACATTGTATAAATATTTCTGCTTTAATTTCACAGATAAGCCATGAGAATCACTAACATCAAACTGCACAAAACCCTTTAATGATAGTATTTATAACATTTGCAATAAACTAGAATTTTAAGTCTGAAATTTTCTGGTCATTTGATCACCAATTCACACAGAAGAGTTTACAACCTTGTATATGGAGTACCCATATACAGGATATAGACACAAACATTGCAACAAGCTATTTCCCACTTTTGCTACATAATAACAGTTTCCTTTAGCAAGCAGGCAATTGCATTTAATTGATAGTGGGCTACTTGTTGGTTTGAATGCTATGCACCCTAAAAGCAAATCCTGTCTTGGATACAATAAAAAATAGTTTAAATTACAACTTTGTAATTATGTCAAGTGTTTCAAGATCAGTACAAAAGGTTTTTGCTGTTAAAATACTTAAAAAGGACACTGTCAAAAAAATAAGTGATGAAACTATGAAAGACTTCTCTGCATGGTCTTGAACACTCAAGGCCTCAAACTGTGTAAAAAATGTTGACTCTAAAGCATGCTTTATTTTGTTTTAAAATAGTGTTTTTTGCAGAAAATGCTTTAGTTTTTAAAACATGTAAACATGTAACCCTTCAGAAAAATAAATTTTACTTAATAGCAAGGTAAGGTTGCAGCTGAAGTTTTCATCTCTAAAATGTGAATGTGAATGTGAATGTCGAGCACTGCTATCTTGTAAGCGGCAATTGGCATTCACGTTTTAGAGATGAAAACTGGCTGCAACCTTGCTATTGTTGTTTGATATCACATATTGGAGATTAGTTTCAGAAATTGGACACTAACCAATAAGGGTGGAAGTTAATTGCAGAATACTAAATATGCAACAGTTTTTATTGTCATTTAGCATTTCAAGCAAAATAGTTAATCATATTATTTAAACTGGAAAAAAAATTAAAATTTGCAGAGTTTTGCAAGAAATTCATTATTTGCAAATTTGCTTAAACAATATAAAACTAGTAATGCTGTGAACACAAAATCTTTTACTAAAACACCAGAAAGAAGCTCTAAGAAAAAAAATCCAGCAACAAGTTGCTTAACTTTCCTGGCAACATTTAAAATTTTGGTGGCAACATCTGTTTTAAAATATCATATTTTTAATTATTATAAAATGGAAAAGAGCTTAATTTTGAGGATAGTGATGAGTTTTATAAAAAAAAAATTATAAATGTTAATAACAAATAACATCTTTATTAACTTCGACCTCTCTTGAGATATGACACATGATATCCCTCTATCTCCCTATCTGTTTAACCTTTAACCACTAAAATTTAATAGTATCAATGCTTCTTATACGAAAGCTATCATGCCAAATTTAATTTCTTATACATGCCAACACACACAAGCACGGAATATTTTTCCTTTTTCAACTTTGTTGGGTTCAGGAGGTTTCAAAACTGGAGATTTGCAAAAAACTCTTAGAGTCAAATTTGATATTATTCCATTCTTTCTCTCATAATGTATACGTAACAGCCAGGAAAGTGAAATTAAGAATGTTTAGAAATGCATTTAACCTATTGCCTCAAAACATTTTGTATTGTTTAGACACATTTAAATAAAGGGTTAAAGAAAGAAATGTCTAATTATTTACTTTTAAAATTAAAAAAATGTAAGTAGGGCCATTTTGATTTGCACCATTTTAGTTAAAATTCTTCCTTTGTACACTTTTACACAACACAAACAGTATAACACTTGAATAAAAGAAAAATGGTGGGTGTGTATTCAATTTTCTTTCAACGTGGTATTGCTACAGCCATGTTGGAAGAAAATTGATGTATCTATGCAGTTTATTCTAGCTCGTTGGTTTCACATAAATTCAGAGAATAACAAAAATTGTTAAATGAAATTAACTGATATGCAGAATTGTCCAAGTATCAGAAAAGAAAGTTTAATATCAATAAATAATTGCTTAAAATTCTATAGTTATCATTCAAATATATTTCACATCANCACCAAAATTTTCTAGTATCAATCCCCCTAATAAACAAACCGCTCTGCAAAATTTCAGAAATTTTCAAAAAAAAGCACAGAAGTTATTAAGCTTCAAAGAAGGTGAAAAAATCATACCACATACACAGACTAACATCCATACATACAGAAAAAATTCCCCCAAAATTTTTTTTTGCATTTCTCAAGGTCCCAAATCCAAAAATGTAAAAATCTTGTCAGGTCATTTTTTGATTGATTGCCATACTTTCCCTGTATTATATATAACAGAGCTTAGAAAGTATAAATGTCAAGTGCTTACAACAATATTGCAGATCATTCAACAACTAAGAAAATGTGGCAACATTTAGGGTGAGCAGGACCAGAACAAGTTCTGTATAATGAAAGTATTTTAGCTTTTATTTGTGCATATCCACATGCTAGTATATAAGATGCTGCTACAGACTTGGGGCTTTATGAAAGACAATGCATCATATCTCACATTGTCATTATTTTCATCCATATTAACTTTTTCCTAACTTTGATTCATAATTTCATAAATTAAAGTGTGAAATAATAATTTAAGTTGCAAACAAAACATAATTTATTATTAAATTAGGAATTTAAATTAATATTTCCAGAAAAACAGACAGTAATGCATTTGACTAATAGACATTCTGAAAAAGTTGAATATTTTCCATTACTGTAAATAACTTTTTAGAGTGAACTGTAAATGTCGTCAATGTTATAAATTGATAACTATTTCTAAATATTTCTAATAAAATTAATAATGTATGAATAAATAAGATCTTACTTGAACCAGGCGTCTTTGCTGGAGTCTTAAAACTAAGAGATTTAGCAACAGATTCTTCATTGTACATAGCTGCTTCTTGTCCATCATTCTTATGCATAATCTCAATTTGTTGTTCTAATTCTTCAATTATAGTCTAGTATATTCATTATAGAAGTTAATAATTTTAATTTCCATGTATTAAATGAGATAAAAATACTTACTTTTGCTTTTCCTTTTAAATTAGGTATCTTTCTTGCTCCATTATAAATTGATGTCATATGTTCATAAACAATGTCATCGGCAAGTTTTTCACCCAAACAACCAAGATTTTCTTGAAGTTTTAATAAACTCCGTTCATTATATGTTAGGAGACTTAAACAAAATGCCAAGTTTCTCCATTGTACTTCATTTCTAAAAAAATTTTTAATTATAATCTAATTATAAATATTTATATTACACAAGACTATTAATAAATTTATATATTATGAATATTTAGGTAAAACATATACAGTAATTTCAAATATTCAAATTCCATACAGTAACAGATATAACAGTTATTAAAGTATTTTCTAACTTTAAAACTCTTAATCAATTTCTCAATAAGAGATTCAAATTTCTGCATCATCTAATATAAAATAATAATATATTTTACTTTAGATAGCAGAGAAATTTTCTTTTCTCAAAATCCTTTCCTCAGATTCTGTTTAAAGTCCATTCTAAAACTGTCTTTCATTGTTAACAGTTTCTAAACTAATAAAAATAAACTTATTAAAACAAATCATATATTCATCATAAGTACTTTCAATAACATTAAAATTATCATCTTCAGGCATTTACAATAGAAAAATGGCATGAAAACATTAATGTTCTGATTCTATTACATCTAACATATATAGTGTGTCCACTTAAACATCATCTATCCAAGTGCAAAAGAGATCTTTCTAGCATTGCACACAAGTGTATACATGCAGTGATTGCTTATTCCAGCACTAAATTAACAGAAAAGAATCAATTTAAAACAATTTAACATAACATGCAAGTAATTTCTGACTGTAAGAGATGAAGATAACATTGCAGGAATTGATACAAAAAAACTGACCTTTATTTTGTTAGTAAATATATTCAAAACGACCTCCTTCAATAGCAATACAAAGATGTAGACAGTTGGGTAGCGGGTACACATCATATACCAATGCTTTTAGGTGATTGCTCTGGTTTTTTCCTGTGAGATCAAGTCTTGAAAATTTGGTAGCCCTAGAACAGGGTCGTGTTGTCCTATCTAGCAGTTGCCAACTACTCTGTTAGTCATTTATGCATATCTGTCTGGAAATGAGCTGGTATGCCATTGTGCAGTACAAAAGCTACTGTAATTGCACCAATGACATGCTATCAAGTCATTTGTCCACTGTTGTGTTTAAGATGTTCAGATATCAGTTACTATTCAGGTGCCATCAATGAATATGGGACCAAAATGCTACTTGTCCCAATTCCATACCAGATAACTAGAGTAAAACACACTTACAAGGGAACTGTCGGAGTGTCTTTTAATAAATATTAATAAAATTTAGTTAATAATTATGTTAAAAGTATACAAAATCTACATTAAAATTGTAATATTCACTAAAAGTGTTAATCAGAGTGAATAGAAATCAAATGTTGTACTATTTTATATTTGTTTAACACAAATATGCAAATTTTTAGAAGTGAAAGGGTTGCGGAGGAAGACGACAATATTACATTTACAGAGTAGAATAAGGAATAAACTCAAATAAATGTTATATGAAAGATTAGATTGCGAAAGTTGGCAACAAGGTGTTTGACCACTGTCCCAAACCTATATGATTGATCGACAACTGATTTCCTTCTCAAGAGGTACACCTTAGTGGTGCATTGGACGTGACCTCCAAGACTCTAGGATCACCTAGTCCAGATAGTAATCTGGACTAGGTGATCCCAGAGATGCTAACCATTTCAAAACCCAATCTCTCCATGTCGGTCAAGCAGCCAAACTAACAATGTTGATCAATCTGATTACATCTACGAATAGTGTTGTCGTGTCGAATGAATGATTCCAGGACAGATGATGGAGTTCAATGGTCATTGTCACAAGTTTATTTTACAGAACTATATATAAGAGTTACAATTACATCAACTGTGGAAACAGTGGTTAGAGCATGCAATGAGGTGAGCAACTAGACAGAAGCATGTCCACCTAAAAAGTGGAGTTAGCCACAGTCTGACATCACGTAGGTTGGGGACAGTGGTCAAACACCATGTTACCAACTGCAGCAATCTAATCTTTCATATAACATTTATTTGAGTTTATTCCTTATTCTACTCTGTAAATGTAATATTGTCGTCTTCCTCCGCAACCCTTTCACTTCTAAAAATTTGCATATTTGTGTTAAACCAATATAAAATAGTACAACATTTGATTGCTTTTAACTCAGATTAACACTTTTAGTGAATATTACAAATTTAATATAGATTTTGTATACTTTTAATGTAATTATTAACTAAATTTTATTAATATTTATTAAAAGACACTCTGACAGTTCCTTTGTTAGTGTATGTCATATGCATTGTGGAGCAAGNCCAGATAGCTATCTGGACTAGGTGATCCCAGAGATGCTAACCATTTCAAAACCCAATCTCTCCATGTCGGTCAAGCAGCCAAACTAACAATGTTGATCAATCTGATTACATCTACGAATAGTGTTGTCGTGTCGAATGAATGATTCCAGGACAGATGATGGAGTTCAATGGTCATTGTCACAAGTTTATTTTACAGAACTATATATAAGAGTTACAATTACATCAACTGTGGAAACAGTGGTTAGAGCATGCAATGAGGTGAGCAACTAGACAGAAGCATGTCCACCTAAAAAGTGGAGTTAGCCACAGTCTGACATCACGTAGGTTGGGGACAGTGGTCAAACACCATGTTACCAACTGCAGCAATCTAATCTTTCATATAACATTTATTTGAGTTTATTCCTTATTCTACTCTGTAAATGTAATATTGTCGTCTTCCTCCGCAACCCTTTCACTTCTAAAAATTTGCATATTTGTGTTAAACCAATATAAAATAGTACAACATTTGATTGCTTTTAACTCAGATTAACACTTTTAGTGAATATTACAAATTTAATATAGATTTTGTATACTTTTAATGTAATTATTAACTAAATTTTATTAATATTTATTAAAAGACACTCTGACAGTTCCTTTGTTAGTGTATGTCATATGCATTGTGGAGCAAGCTCTATCCAGTGGTATACATTTTGACAACTATACAATCTATTCTCATAAAATAGTACCTTATCAGTTCATAAAATGTGCTGAAGGAATTGTGATTCATTATACTGTAAATTTAACATCATGTTGAACCAATCAAATCACTGTGTGGTATCCTCTGCATGTCATGGTGATATAATATCCAGTGTTTTCATGTTTGCTGCAATCAACAACCTAATTTAAGTGGACACTTTAATCAGTTTCATTTCTTGATTGAATAATTAGCTCTTTAATATGCTAGTCATTGGTCATGTTGTAAAAAAAATCTATGTATAACAAGAACACAAGGCATGAAACTGTGTTGTTATATCTTTGATAATTTTTTTTATATAATTATTATAAAATTTAGTTTAATTACAAGAAGTGATAATTAATGTTAATTAAATTTATTAATCTCATTTCATTTTATCTCTCAATACAATTTCAAACAAAAGTTTTTGTCAAAGTTTAAAATATGTGGTTTTGTTCAAGTATCTGTTAGCTTTTTTTTTTTTTTTAGTCTTTGCTCAAACTTTATTATTTAAAAAATTTTTTTTAAGGCCAATATATTTTATAAAGTAATTTTAAGCAACTCTTTTTAATGATTCCCAATTTAACTGTACCGTTTTAACACGTCACATTATTGTAGGCTGAAATGCACATTAGTATATCACTAAGATATTTATATTCAAATGCACTTGGAATTTATTAAGATAGCACATGTATAATAAGTTACTATATATTAAAAATGACTCTAACTAAATCATTTTAACTTAGTGACAATTATATCATTTATTTGATAATTTTTATTTTAATATCATTCTCTTTACAGTTTATTGTATTATTACTTTCAGTAACAATACAATACTGTAATATTGTAATTAGAACTAATTTATAATTTAATTTAAATAATTTTAAAATAAATCATTAAATTGTGTTCAAATTAGCAGGATAAGTTTAAATCAGCAATCAAAATATGAAATTACATATTCTTAGCCATTTTAATGATTTATTTATTCATAATATTTATTAAATATTTTATTATTATAGTATTGTAATTTATACTTATAGTAGATCTGTTGCTTAAATAAAATAAAAATCCTAAAAATCTTTAAAATTCAGCAAAGAAATTTTATATAATAAACAAAGTAAGAATCATCAAATGTAATTTATATTTGATAACTCCTATTTTTGTACCTTAAACATTTAACATGCAGACAATTGTGAGTGGCCTAAGCAAATATGCTTGAGAATACAGTGAGTCATTTTTGTATCTTTCAGCTACCATTATAACAATAATGTTTTAATTTGCATGTTGTTAGCTTTATTTTTTACTATTATGTTGAGAAGAAATCATTTTAAGCTACATCTTTTGCATTGAAAGTTTTTTTATTAATATTAGTACAGTAAAAACACACTTATTTGGCTACCTTTGGTGTATATGATTTCTGGCCACATAAGGTGTTCAACTAAATAAGAAGGATTATGAAAAAATTGACATACAGAACTGTAATTACAGTATCGTACTGAATACTACTAAAAGTTTAATACAGATTATAAAAGTAAACAGTAATAAATAAATCAATAAAATAAAATAAAAAATTCACATATACTACACCCTTGCAATATACAATAATTCAAAATTTCATCCAGTATAATAGAATATTGAAATACAGAGTACAGTGGTGCCTCATACTTTGAATTTAATTCATTCCAGAACGTTGTTCAAACTTCAAATGAATTTTTCCCATTAGAAATAATGGAAACTGAATTAATTCATTCCCAGACCCCAAACACTATCCATCTTAAAAAACTTAAAACAGCAAATACACGTAATTTAAGGTAAAAATAACACAATTAAATGTCCTGATAATAAATTAAAACGTGAAAACCTTAAATAAAATATATACATGCTGTATAATAAAATGAAAATTGCATTTATTAGTTGTACACCATGGATTTCTGCATTTTAACATAGATGTGTGATTTAATAACAGTTGTGAAATTTAACATATTATAGATAATGTGAGATTTTATTCTTTGCTTTGTATTTAAAAAACAATTAAGTAATATTTATTTTTATTTGTTTTATTAATTCATTTAATAAATTTTGTTCTCAAATGCACCATCTGCTACTAATTCTATGGTAATATTACTTGAAAAGATTTAACATTATGTAATTTTGTTTTAATTTTTATAACTTAATATTTCTTTTAATAAAAACAAGATTTTAAGTGCAAAATTTATATAAAACTGAAATAAAAATAAGCTATTAATATTTCAAATAATACATAATAACTTAATTAGAGTTAATTACCTTGTAGCTCTAAATCTATAGCATAACTTTTCAACAAGAGCCTCTACATGTTTTTCCTTTTCAATGAATTGAAAAAGATATCTGAAAATTATAATATATTTTAATTTTTTGAAGAAAACATTTAATAATATTAACTATCATACTTCATAACTTCTTGAAAAAATTCTTGTGTGGTTCCAACTTCTGGATCAGATAAGTGACTGATAATATCAGAAAGTATATTATAAATTGCATTTCCCTTTTGAAAAAAAAAAAATTAAAAAATTATCATGATTCAAGAAAAATCAGATAGAATTCAAACTTAATTATGCACTTACTTTTTTGGATAATTCTTGAAAAAATACTTTTGTTAATTGTACAATGCAATCTTCTTTATCTACTAGACACAAAGCAACATCACTAATTTGTTGCTTTACTTTAATAATATCATGCAATATTAAATGACTTAATATAATAAGCGCTTTCTTTTTGACATCTGTGGATGAATCATGCAATCTATAAAATAAAAATTTAATTTTTAATTTTTTAAATAATTTTTAAATATTTAAAATTTTGATATACCTATTATAAATATGAGTTGTCCAAGGTTCTATTATATTAGGAAAACGAACAGCAAGATCTCCAAAAGCAATAACTGTATTTCCACGAACAACTGGGTTTGTTGATTTTTCCATTAAAGTTACCAGTAATTGCAAATTAGAATCACAGAATGAAGGACTATAATAAAAATTTTTATTATGTCATCTTAAACAATAATTTATAGAAATAAATCTTCTTTACCTTATCATCATAAATTTTCCAAGANCCAGATAGCTATCTGGACTAGGTGATCCCAGAGATGCTAACCATTTCAAAACCCAATCTCTCCATGTCGGTCAAGCAGCCAAACTAACAATGTTGATCAATCTGATTACATCTACGAATAGTGTTGTCGTGTCGAATGAATGATTCCAGGACAGATGATGGAGTTCAATGGTCATTGTCACAAGTTTATTTTACAGAACTATATATAAGAGTTACAATTACATCAACTGTGGAAACAGTGGTTAGAGCATGCAATGAGGTGAGCAACTAGACAGAAGCATGTCCACCTAAAAAGTGGAGTTAGCCACAGTCTGACATCACGTAGGTTGGGGACAGTGGTCAAACACCATGTTACCAACTGCAGCAATCTAATCTTTCATATAACATTTATTTGAGTTTATTCCTTATTCTACTCTGTAAATGTAATATTGTCGTCTTCCTCCGCAACCCTTTCACTTCTAAAAATTTGCATATTTGTGTTAAACCAATATAAAATAGTACAACATTTGATTGCTTTTAACTCAGATTAACACTTTTAGTGAATATTACAAATTTAATATAGATTTTGTATACTTTTAATGTAATTATTAACTAAATTTTATTAATATTTATTAAAAGACACTCTGACAGTTCCTTTGTTAGTGTATGTCATATGCATTGTGGAGCAAGCTCTATCCAGTGGTATACATTTTGACAACTATACAATCTATTCTCATAAAATAGTACCTTATCAGTTCATAAAATGTGCTGAAGGAATTGTGATTCATTATACTGTAAATTTAACATCATGTTGAACCAATCAAATCACTGTGTGGTATCCTCTGCATGTCATGGTGATATAATATCCAGTGTTTTCATGTTTGCTGCAATCAACAACCTAATTTAAGTGGACACTTTAATCAGTTTCATTTCTTGATTGAATAATTAGCTCTTTAATATGCTAGTCATTGGTCATGTTGTAAAAAAAATCTATGTATAACAAGAACACAAGGCATGAAACTGTGTTGTTATATCTTTGATAATTTTTTTTATATAATTATTATAAAATTTAGTTTAATTACAAGAAGTGATAATTAATGTTAATTAAATTTATTAATCTCATTTCATTTTATCTCTCAATACAATTTCAAACAAAAGTTTTTGTCAAAGTTTAAAATATGTGGTTTTGTTCAAGTATCTGTTAGCTTTTTTTTTTTTTTTTAGTCTTTGCTCAAACTTTATTATTTAAAAAATTTTTTTTAAGACCGATATATTTTATAAAGTAATTTTAAGCAACTCTTTTTAATGATTCCCAATTTAACTGTACCGTTTTAACACGTCACATTATTGTAGGCTAAAATGCACATTAGTATATCACTAAGATATTTATATTCAAATGCACTTGGAATTTATTAAGATAGCACATGTATAATAAGTTACTATATATTAAAAATGACTCTAACTAAATCATTTTAACTTAGTGACAATTATGTCATTTATTTGATAATTTTTATTTTAATATCATTCTCTTTACAGTTTATTGTATTATTACTTTCAGTAACAATACAATACTGTAATATTGTAATTAGAACTAATTTATAATTTAATTTAAATAATTTTAAAATAAATCATTAAATTGTGTTCAAATTAGCAGGATAAGTTTAAATCAGCAATCAAAATATGAAATTACATATTCTTAGCCATTTTAATGATTTATTTATTCATAATATTTATTAAATATTTTATTATTATAGTATTGTAATTTATACTTATAGTAGATCTGTTGCTTAAATAAAATAAAAATCCTAAAAATCTTTAAAATTCAGCAAAGAAATTTTATATAATAAACAAAGTAAGAATCATCAAATGTAATTTATATTTGATAACTCCTATTTTTGTACCTTAAACATTTAACATGCAGACAATCGTGAGTAGCCTAAGCAAATATGCTTGAGAATACAGTGAGTCATTTTTGTATCTTTCAGCTACCATTATAACAATAATGTTTTAATTTGCATGTTGTTAGCTTTATTTTTTACTATTATGTTGAGAAGAAATCATTTTAAGCTACATCTTTTGCATTGAAAGTTTTTTTATTAATATTAGTACAGTAAAAACACACTTATTTGGCTACCTTTGGTGTATATGATTTCTGGCCACATAAGGTGTTCAACTAAATAAGAAGGATTATGAAAAAATTGACATACAGAACTGTAATTACAGTATCATACTGAATACTACTAAAAGTTTAATACAGATTATAAAAGTAAACAGTAATAAATAAATCAATAAAATAAAATAAAAAATTCACATATACTACACCCTTGCAATATACAATAATTCAAAATTTCATCCAGTATAATAGAATATTGAAATACAGAGTACAGTGGTGCCTCATACTTTGAATTTAATTCATTCCAGAACGTTGTTCAAACTTCAAATGAATTTTTCCCATTAGAAATAATGGAAACTGAATTAATTCATTCCCAGACCCCAAACACTATCCATCTTAAAAAACTTAAAACAGCAAATACACGTAATTTAAGGTAAAAATAACACAATTAAATGTCCTGATAATAAATTAAAACATGAAAACCTTAAATAAAATATATACATGCTGTATAATAAAATGAAAATTGCATTTATTAGTTGTACACCATGGATTTCTGCATTTTAACATAGATGTGTGATTTAATAACAGTTGTGAAATTTAACATATTATAGATAATGTGAGATTTTATTCTTTGCTTTGTATTTAAAAAACAATTAAGTAATATTTATTTTTATTTGTTTTATTAATTCATTTAATAAATTTTGTTCTCAAATGCACCATCTGCTACTAATTCTATGGTAATATTACTTGAAAAGATTTAACATTATGTAATTTTGTTTTAATTTTTATAACTTAATATTTCTTTTAATAAAAACAAGATTTTAAGTGCAAAATTTATATAAAACTGAAATAAAAATAAGCTATTAATATTTCAAATAATACATAATAACTTAATTAGAGTTAATTACCTTGTAGCTCTAAATCTATAGCATAACTTTTCAACAAGAGCCTCTACATGTTTTTCCTTTTCAATGAATTGAAAAAGATATCTGAAAATTATAATATATTTTAATTTTTTGAAGAAAACATTTAATAATATTAACTATCATACTTCATAACTTCTTGAAAAAATTCTTGTGTGGTTCCAACTTCTGGATCAGATAAGTGACTGATAATATCAGAAAGTATATTATAAATTGCATTTCCCTTTTGAAAAAAAAAAAATTAAAAAATTATCATGATTCAAGAAAAATCAGATAGAATTCAAACTTAATTATGCACTTACTTTTTTGGATAATTCTTGAAAAAATACTTTTGTTAATTGTACAATGCAATCTTCTTTATCTACTAGACACAAAGCAACATCACTAATTTGTTGCTTTACTTTAATAATATCATGCAATATTAAATGACTTAATATAATAAGCGCTTTCTTTTTGACATCTGTGGATGAATCATGCAATCTATAAAATAAAAATTTAATTTTTAATTTTTTAAATAATTTTTAAATATTTAAAATTTTGATATACCTATTATAAATATGAGTTGTCCAAGGTTCTATTATATTAGGAAAACGAACAGCAAGATCTCCAAAAGCAATAACTGTATTTCCACGAACAACTGGGTTTGTTGATTTTTCCATTAAAGTTACCAGTAATTGCAAATTAGAATCACAGAATGAAGGACTATAATAAAAATTTTTATTATGTCATCTTAAACAATAATTTATAGAAATAAATCTTCTTTACCTTATCATCATAAATTTTCCAAGAGTTATTGCACAAGTTGCTTGAAGATGATTATCTAAATACTTATTTGGAGTTTTGCATATTTCAATTACTAAAGGGTATATTATTCCAAACAAATTTTCCTCTAAAATAACAAAAATAATTTTATAAATATGAATGAATTTCTTTCAATATTTTCTTTGTGGCTTTTGTCAAATTAAAATTGAAATAACTTAATAATAAACATAAACATTCAAAAATAATAATAAGACATATAATACAAAGACTAACAATAATAAAATTAAGATTTATAATAATAAATTAAAAATTTAAAATTAATTTCATTTATTTTTGTAAACACTAAAATAAATAACTATCAGATTGTTATAATTTATTTAAAGAATATTTACCACTAAAAATATTTGCTTCAAATGTTTTTCTAAAATATTCTATTTCTGTTTCATCAACCAATTCTATCATTCCCACATCTTCATCCGGAATTGAACTATTCATATTATCCTGAAAATAAATTATAACAATTTAGAAAAAAATAACTCATCAAAGAACACAACTATGGTTTTAAAGAACATGAATGATATACAGGTAACCCCCGTATAACACGGCACTTCTATAGCACGGATTCACTCTGACACGGTTTGAGAAATGGGTAAAACCCTCGTACAACATGAAATGTAATAAATTTTTACATACTTAAGTAATAATAGTTCACAAAAATTATTACTTTCATGAACTATTAGTACTTCAGTGTGTAAATTTTCTTTTCTCGTCTCCATACACAAGGTCCTTCGCGAAAATTGTTTCAATTATGCCATAACTTGACGCTTCTGCTTTTGGTGTTGCCAGATGTTTTTCCCTTATTCCATAAGTGCTTAGCACCATATAAGGAAATTTATAAAGATCTTTTAACTAGAAGGAAGCAATTTAAAATTACATACTTTTTGCAAAAGGTAAAGCATGAATCTGAAAATAATGCAGAAAAATGCTCAGAGGATAACGATAACTTGCCAAAAATAAAACGCTCTCGGTTAATAGTGCTTTTAGTGATAACAAAGAAAACATTGTTTAATTTATATTAATATGTATCACTTAAGAAAATTTTAATAAAGATATTTAACTTAATTATGAAAATATAGTAGCATGTTTTTTTTTTATTTTTGGAACCTAACCCTCCTTTTCGTACTAGTTCTTTGATTCGCATAACACGGCAATTTTTTGGAACGTAACTATCGTGTTATACGGGGGTTACTTGTATATATATATTTACATGTAACAAAATATTATTTAAGTAACTATCTTTCTTGATCTCATAATTACAGAAAATTTTTTATACAATAAAATATTTTTTTTCAAATTAAAAAATCAAAGAAGATACAATATGTAGTTATGTAATATTTCAAGTAAGTATAGTAGAATATCTTTAAAAATTTGAAATACAGTAGAATCCCACAAACTCGACTTAATATGGACTGAGAAAGTAACTAGTTACCAAAAATGTTGAGTTTTGCAGGCTCGGGGGAGTAAAATAATACATTACTACATATTAATCTATAAAAAATATTTTAACACAAATTTCTGTGTATATGCTGTCTACTAGGACCTTGTTTATTAATAGAACTTATTATACTGGTGTAGTTTCTGATTAGCAAATAGAGAAGATCTTAATCAAAAGTCAAAACAAAATATCTTTATTTTCGTCTTGCTTTGACTTTTGAATAAGATCTCTATTTGCTAATCAGAAACTACACCAGAATAATAAATCCTATTAATAAACAAGGTCCTAGTAGACAGCATATACACAAATTTAAAAGAGTAAGGACATAGAAGTAAAAGGAATTAATATTTTAATATAGTCAAAGAGAAATAAAATATACAGTACAAAAGATATAAAAATTTACCTACAGACAATGTATATTATAAGGTATTATATGAGAAAATTCATATATGTATTAACTACATACCAATAATGACTATTTCTATTTTTAGTCAAATTTTAATTATAAAAAAATTATTGGATTTTCACTGGCTACTTTCCAGTTAGTGACATTCACACCATGGTTTTGCGGTGACACTTTTGTAAAAGGTCTACAGTCGACCCCCCTATAAGATCATTGATTTTTCCGTTTTATCTGAATTACATGTTGTACGAGTCACTTAGATTTTACAAATACGTGTGCCGGGCTGTGAACGGCTCACATATTTGTAAAATCTAAGTGACTCAAACAACATGTAATTCAGATAAAACGGAAAAATCAATGATCTTATAGGGGGGTCGACTGTATATTCTTTGTTATCATGGGAAACTGATGGTATTACCAAGTGTCACCAGTGAAGAATGATAACTTATCTTATTCTAATGTTAAGTTATAGAGGTATAAATTAGATTACATTTGTTTTTTTTTTTGAGTGACATGATGAGTTTTACAGTATGTTGAGTTATTGAGAGTCAACTTTCTGGGACCGTACTTTATAATATAATTTAATATTTCAAGCAAATACTATAATATTTGCTGTAAAAATTCAGTTAATACTATATTTATAGCATATTGCATTAAATTGATTGAATATTATAATATTGTTCTTTTCATACATGTATATTTATTTTATTTAATACAGAATTAAGTAAATATTCATAAATGTTGTAAAATTGGTAAATAGTTAAGAGTTTAAGAGTATAAAATAAGTGCTATAAATTTATTAGGTTCTTTGCATTCTGCATTAAACAGTTACCAAAATAAGTTTTAATGTTTAATTGAAGAAACCATTCGGCAAAGTTCTTTTGACTATTTTGGAATGTTTCTGGTTCTATTGTTATGGATGTTTACATTCAATATAAAGAATAAAAAGTAAAATTGAAATATAAAAAATACAATAAATCCTGAAAACCAAAGAAGAGGGAAACTAAAATAATATTTTGCTTCTCCATGATAATGCAAGAATTCATACAGTAATGAAACCATTAGCACTATTACAAATAATATTGGGTTCCATAATCTTAAAATATTCCCTGCATTCTTAATTTTGCTCCTTCAGACTTTTTATTTTTTAGATACTAATAAAAGTGACAATGGTGAAAAAGTTTCTTTTATGAGTTAGCCAAAAATGTTTATAAACAAGACATATCATAACTTATATGATGGAAAACTTACATAAAAATAAAATGAAATTATAATACTGTAGAATAAAAAAATTTGTGCTACTATTTTCAAAAATTTATCTCACTTGTTAAATCATCCTTATATTTATTAATTTAATCAATTTAATATTCAATTTATAATCATAACATTTTCTATTCAGAATTTAGTAGTAGAAAAATTCATATTAAAATTAAAACATATTTACATCTTTATATATTGATGATCTTTTTCTTAAACTAATATTTGAAATATCCGATTTTCTTTTTCCTTTTTGAGTATTATTCTGTTGGATTTGTTTCTTTAATTCTGGTATTACATACGTTTCAATGTAGAGAAGATGTTGAAGTGCAACATGACCAGAAAAGCTGACAATTCGTTGCAAAATTCTAAGTGGAAATCTTGAAGTATCTTCTAAGATAAAATAAAAATTAAAAACTGAAATAAATAAGAATTTGTATACTTTAAAAATTTTAAAATTACCTGAAAAAGGTGATTGAGAATCACTAATAAGATAAGAAAATTCTTCCATAATTTTTGCACATAATTTATCTGGCCTATGTGCTAATTCATAAATTACATTTATTGCTTGTTCAGCCATAGGAATCCAAAAGTGATCGTTTAATTTAATTACACCTAAAATGTTAAAACTTTTATTAGATTCTAGATGAATTTTATTTGTAAATGTGTAAAAGAATTATCCATAATTCATCACTTTTTAATATTTTCTTACCTTTAACAAGAACATCAGTTAGTTTTTTGAACATAACATCATCATTTGGAAAATGGTAACTCTTATTTGAATTATCCTATCATCATAAATTTTAGAATAAAAACAATATTCTACTGATTATGATAAATTTTAATATATAAATAATAAATATTAACCTTGTTTGAATTAGCTAACTGCAACAACATTTTGCAAACATCACAAATAAAAACAAAATCTGGCATATTTTCTGCATTAAATGCTATTGACAACAGAAGTTCAATATTTTTCTCAATGATATCAGTTTGAAATCTAAAATAAAAAATTAAATAAATTAAATTATATTTTTAATTGTGTATTTAAATTGTTTTAAATTTGTTTACTTACGTTGCTGCCATTCTTAATAACTTTAATGCAGAATGACTTTCTTCTAATGTGGAATTTGGTATTTTCATTGAATAAATATCCCATAACATTTCAATTATATTATTATTAAAATCTTCAGATTTCATAAATTCTCCTATCTAAAAAATATTATATTAATTACATTAAATTTTAGAAGTAAAAAACAAAACTGATGATGATGCATAGAACTGAGAAAATTATATAATGTTCACCTTTAATCAAAACAATTTAAATCTACAACAACCAATAGCTTAATGTAAATATTATTATTTAAGTACAGTTGTATTGAGTAAAACATCTTTAATTCCTTGAATTTCATATATTTTATATTATAAAAAATGTATACCAATTTTTCAAGACATATTTCTTCTGCAAATGTTGATCCTTGTACGAGCAATATAATATTCTTCACAATGCTCAAGACACACTCTCTGCAAAAAATTTGCAGTAATTAATAATAGAAGAAAATTATTAAGAAACTAAATGAATTAAAATTATAAAAATTTATATTCTGAAACATAATTCAGAAAAATAATAATTACTTTCTGTTAGAACTTGTGTTAGCCAAATACAATTCTTTATATGCTGATACTACAGCATCTTTTATTACATCTTCCTTTGACCATATATGAGATAGCATACTTTTAATTCCAAAAACAGCATCTTTAACGCCAAACTGATAAGCAGTTACAAAAAATCTAATAGATTCCAATATATCACTGGAAGTATATGTAGAATGAAGGAGTTGGCAAATTATTGGCAAAGCTTTTTCAATTTCTTGAGAAAACTGAAGCATATTCTAATTAAAGAAAATTAAATACAAATCAATAATATAGATTATCTTCTATTTATTTAATTATAATAAATATTCTTACTCTGAAATAATAGACTAAATTTTGTTGTTTGTTGATTTTATTTTCAGCTGGTATTTTATCTTCAAAATTTACAGAATTATCTTTTTGTTTTATTTCTAAATAATCTTTAAAAAATAACAATAAATTTATATTTATTTTAAAAACATAAAAAATTTCAATAAATAATTGTCCTATAAAAATTAAATGGACATTACAATGAAAGAATTGTAAAGAAAATTACAAATTTAATAGAAAAAAAAGTAATGATAGAGGGGGGTCGACT